CCGTCCCGTCACAATTATTCCTGGCAAACCGAATATTTTCTTCTCACCAGGTTGTGATGGCGACTTCCCATGTCTGGGACATTTTATCATTATTTTGTACTAGGATTATTAATTTTAATTCATTTGCATTTATTTTGTAACATGCACCATTTCATTTCATTTGTTTATTATTTTAAATATATTTAGATTTTCTGATATTCGGCATTTATTTTATACATATTTATCCTCAATGGATTTCAGTATTTCTTTTATACATATTTATCCTCAATGGATTTCAATATTTCAACATTTTAAAATAAGTTAATTAATAAGGCTCTACAATGTCTATGGATTAGGTAGAGCAGAAATGGCTTTTCACATTTGAAAACCCGCTGCCCTCACAATCGGAGTCCATATTATATTAAGCTCATGTTACGTATGGAAGCCTGTTATAATCTTTTGGGCGAGCTCGGCCACGCTCCTTTCGTATTTCTTTGGTTCTGCCATTACAACTATTATCAGTTACGATCTTTTATTTCTCCTTTAATTAATTATGAAATTCCTTCATATTTTATATTTAACTATTTTTTGTATCAAAAATTAATGTGAAATGGTTAATTACTTCAAATATAAAACATTAAAGATACTTTAGAGGAAGCTAATATTGAAAGTTAGCCATTTAAGCAATGTTAGAGAACATCAATGAGAATATAAAACCTACGTTATATGAAAAAGTGCTTAATAATACACTGATATACTGAGTTTAATCGAAATCATTAGAGCTATTTTTGAGAAAATTGTAAAAATGAGTTAAATCGATTTGATAAAGTACCACTTCCGGTTGGCCAATTTTGACGAAAATGTTGTAGTAACATTCAAGGATTATAAAAACCTCAAATATGGTATTTTAGTTTCGTGCGACTTTCCATTTGTGAGCTAGGCTGTTTATATATACACACACACCATTTTTCGGGACTTGATTATTTGGATTTAGGGGACCTCAAAATGTGTATTTCCGTTGAAAACTCAGATTAAAAAATTTTCACGATCGCAATACTTTATAGGTAAGGGAAAGTGAAAACACTCTCAAACCAGAAATTCTGCATTAATTACAGCATAAACTACGTGAAATTCACAGTCACAGCAACAGTAACTATGTTTATAACTTACAAACAGCTGAAGAGCATGTGTGTTTTTTTATTTAACAGATTTAGCAACTCCCCCCAGAAAAAATTCCCTCAAATTGAAAATGCTGACTCTAAAAATTGAAATGTCATTTTATCTCCATAGCAAGAGTCAATCTGTCATTTTTATGGTGATTTTTGAATTCAGCAGATGGAAATACATATGAGTTGACAGTTTTTGAGCCTGAAACATTTTCATTGTTGCCCAGTGCAACTAATTACAATTAAAAAATCAATAACTATTAATATAGTGTCATTTTAATTATCGAATTTGTATATCATAAATTGTAAACCTATAGGTATTTATAAATTAAGAAAGTAGCAAAGATTTCCAGTAGGCATTGATTCATTATTGTATATGTGCAAACATTATACTAATCGGGTACTTTTAGAAAATTCAGGAATTTCAATGAACAAAATTGGTAGACATCATGAAATGTAATAAATCCTATAAATCCTGTTATTACTTCAATCCTACTAAAATTGAATTGCTGTGGTTGGTTTGTTTGTATAAAGGAAATCAGGCATCTACAGAGCTTTCAAAATCTATTTTCAGCATTTAAATGAATATTGTGTTTAAGTTTTATGTGCTAAAAAATAAAATATAGGCGCATATCTAAGGACTGAAGTAACATTTTAGGATAAAATCTTTTTTTAATTTTTCCAAAACATCTTACTGCTCTAAGCTCAGGATAACTAACCACCCACCATGATACTGACTTATATATTTCTTGTTTCTTTTTCATAGAATGAAAAGATGAAGAGTTAGCTAGTCAAATAACAATAACGCGAGACGAACATTTTTTTTTTACTTTCTCATCACTTGATCGTATAGTTTTTCTGATATAAGTGGAAAACCGAAAAAAAAATAATCCTTTAAGAATAGAAAGAATGATTGCGTGGAGATATTTCTTGATGACGTCGGCGCTTTTGACAACGTTGGTCACGATGATATAATCAGCTCACTCAAGGCAAGAGGAGTATCACCGAACCTAAAAAACGTGATTGCGGATCTCCTGGGCTCTAACCAAATCAAGATTGGAGTCATAGTCCACTCGACAAACTGGATCAAAGTGTGGTGAGGAGTACTCCAAGGCAGAACCTTGTCGCCTTTGCTGTTCAATCTGGCTATAGACCATCTATATCACGACCTGCGTGAGCAGAAATTTTCGAAGCGTTGTGGATACCAACTAACAAACGACCAAGAATTATGGTCCTCACTGGCTTCGCGGATGACCAGGCTGTTACAGCACATGACAGCGGTGCTGCAGAAAGGATTATTAATTGTGTGCTGAGGATCCTTGCCGAGATGGGTCTGGCAGTAAATCCACTGTAAATTCTAATTTGAGGTAAAGTAAAGGAGAGAAAGGAAGGGAACTAATGAGGTCCTTGGATTGCCTTAGTTTTGTCTGCGTTCAGCTTAAGTTTATTTTTTTCTGCCCGCCTATGGATACAGTCAATATCCTCTTGTAGTTTTCGGGTAGCCTCAGGCATCTCAGATGGTTGGAACGATTAATAAATTTTTAGATCGTCTGCATATAAGTGGTAGTGGGAGTGACGAATGGAGTCAGGAAGGTCGCTCATATAAACGCAAAACAGAGTTAGAGAGAGTGAGGAGCCCTGATAAACACCTCATGATATTTGAAGGGATGAGGAAGGAGATCTGTTTGGAATAACAATTGTCTGGAAGCGATGGGATAAAAAGGAGAGGAACCATTTTAGAATGCTATTCGATATGGGTAGGCTTTGGAGTTTGGAAAGGAGGATATTATGATTGACTCAATTAAAAGCTTTTGAGAAGTCAAACAGGACTAGGATAGAGATTTTCTGTTTATCTATGGATGATTGGATGTCTTGGGAAATCTTTAACAAGGCAGATTGGGTGGAGTATTGGGAACAAAAACCGGATTGTAGAGGGTTAAGGAGACGGTTTTGCTCGAGAAAGTTATTCAACTTTGAGTGGACTAATCTCTCTAGAGATTTGGATAAATTGGAAAAATGGAAATGGGTCTGAAATCGGAAGCTAATGAAGGAGCAGGAACTTTGTTCAACGGCCGGACAATGACTTTTTTCTAGGCTTTAGGAAAAATTGTAGATGTGTAGAAGTATAGGAAGTAAGGTTGGAAGGCAGAGTTTGATGATTTTCACAGGTATTTGGTCAGAACCATACTCGTTAGTTTTGGATTTGAGGATAGTAGAGAGTACGTAATTTGGAGAAAAATCAAGAAAATAAAACTTATCTGAGTCAAAGGTTTCAGTAATGGAAAAACGTGAGAGGTCAGATATGAATACAGAAGGGAGATGGTCTTCAGGTTATTGTGGACAAACATAGCTACTCTACTGCCAGTCAGGTTGATCGTGAAGCAGGAGGGTGTAATTAGGCAGGGAGACAGAAGAGGACAGGTAAAGTAAATGTAAAGTTTAAGCCATGTTTTGGAGATTGTGATAATATAATAAAAGTTTTGAGTAAAGTACTTCATATTTCATTATGGGTATTTTAATTTCTTAAGTGCTGGTATAAATATAAATTTCAATTCTATGTTGCAGTAATCTAAACAATTAAATATTCAATATCAGAGCTAGCATTTAGGAAAACGGCATATTTTTATATATATATATATAGTATTATCGGAGCCTACATATTCCAATGTATGGCACCACAAAAATCAATGGATATGGAAGAACCAGAAGAGCAGTTTTTGTCTTCCTCTCCTATCTCACGTTTTCAGCGATACAGGGTTTTTCTTTAGATAGGGAAGAAATCGAGGGATTAACACCAAAGTTTAATGTCCCGGCACCGGAAATCGAACTCGTAATTTTTAGGGTATCAGGTTGCCAGGCAATGTATGCAATGCGTTAGCCTGATCTGCCACCTTACCCCCGAGACAGAGAAGCAGTAAGGTTGAGGAGCTAGAAACAGAAAAGAATGCCTAGGATGGTTGACAGCCACCAGAACATAAGGAGGAACAACAAGGTATAACCAGAAGGTGTGCAGCCACACAACGAGCTGCTCCAAAAGTTGCACTGTTTTATTATTCCCCAAAACACACATCCTTAAGCATTTATATTATTAATAAAGAGCAATGAAACAAAGAGAATTTTTATCAGTGCCAGTGGCATGTACAAACCCCATGTGAACTATTCCCACTGCTTCTGAAAAACACACACACACACACACACACACACACACACACACACACACACACACACACACACACACATATATATATATATATATATATGTCAAAAGTTATACCGAGATGGCCTTAGTCAGCTTTTTTTTTTTTTTACATATTTACTCCTAAATATTCAATTTGAAAACAATAAAGGCTTCAACCTCACCTTAAAATATAATGCTCTGATTTGGTCCTGAACTGATTAACCTAATATTTTTGAAATCACCAGCTTTGGAATAGCAGAAAAGATTTATTTTACTTAAAACAGCATACACTTTCGTAATTCACATTCAAACCATCTCCAAAAATGAGTACTCCATTTTGACCCCAACTCCAGGATTAATATGAAAAATGTGCACTGTTAAGTTGAAACAAATAGAGAAAGGTCTAAGAAACTTTAAAGCAATGAAAGCATTAAGGCAGAGGGATTCTTTGACTAGAATTTGCTATAGAAAAGAAAGACTAATCATCAAATTTTGAACTCCTCTTTGGGTGTATCATAAAAGTTATTTTATATAACAAAGTATAAAAAAGCAAATGTATGTACTATTGGTGAAAGCATAAATGGAAATGCACATAATATATAGTTCAATATAATAAAACATATATTTTTTTTAATCAATTAAATTACTGATAAAGCGTTACAAACTGTTATACTTACTGCTTGCTTATAAGCTGCTATTGCTTGAAGAGCATGTTGATATTCAGAGCTGATACCAAAAAATAGAGAGAGATACGCATTTCCTAAAATGCTCCAGGAAACTCCATCAGTGGGGTCAATTTTCACTGACCTTTTAGCAAAATCTGCTGCATCCTCAAAGTATTTGTTCTTTTCAAGATCAGTTGGCATGCTGAGGCCTAGTTTTCTTACAACAACTGATAAATTCCGTAATGAGATTTTATTTTCAGACTGTAAATAAGAATTATTATTAATAATAAGCAGTGTTCATCAAACTTTATCTAAGATTACAGATAACATATTTTTTATGTACAATACTTTTTACTAAGAATACTCAAATTTCAGGTAAATAATTATTCAACAAGTATTCACTATTAGTCCAGTTAATGAATGAATGTAGAGGAAAATGGAAGGAACACAATTTTAGACTTTTGGACTTATTAGGAGGTAAACATACTAAAAGTGCCCACGCCTAAGAGGTGAGCGAGATGTAAAGGGGCAAACAGAAGGTCACTTTTTTCAGATTGAACCTTATATCAGGGAAACCACGCATCATAAAGATAAAGATATTCTATAAAACCTTAAATCTAATAAAATTTGCAATATTCTTGTTGATATTTATTTTTATGCAATCTTGCCAAGTTTCTGAGATATCCGTGTTCAATAATTGCTAATCTTGAAAACAAAAGTTTTGCCACAGATTTTGTTGCTTGTTTTATCAACTACTATTCACACATTCTACATAAAAGTCATGTGGAAGACAGTTGTTGAGCATATAATATTCTTCAAGAATGTATACTATTATAATCTTATCTTCAACCCTTCAAAAACTAGAGCAATTATAAATTAACAACCCAGTGAAAGCCTCAGCTGCCTTCCGAAAGAGTAAGCTGTGATTTATAAAACTTCATATACAGTTTATATCAAACTAAGAGGTGATGCACATTTCTGAGCCTCTTCTTCAACCAATTATGTTATGGAAGAATCTGAGAAAAAGTTTCTTTTGAATTGGTATGAAAAAAAATCCCAATAAAAACAAGCATTTGTGACCATCAATACTGTATAATTGTAATATTAGTAATAAAAGTGTTATTAAATTGACTCTAAGATAGTTACTTGAAAGTATTAAAAAAAAAAATTGATTGCCATTTTTCTTATAAATTTTTAATTATATTCCATTTAGGAACATTGTAATCTTGCATGATGGTTCCCCAGCAGTCAGGGTTAATCTTGATCTGAGAACAGTTTAATCTATTTTTTTAATAATATAAGTAAAATAGACTTAAAATGAGTAGTTGCATATAATATTAGATAGATAGATAGAAAATCATTTTGGGACAAAGTCCCTATAGAATAACAAAATAGTACAAAATTAAAACATTACATCTGGCCTAAATAAAAACAATAATAAAAAATACAAAGAAAGAGAAAAAAGTAAATAAAACACTAGTTAAACATAATATATACAAAACAAATAAAATATATTACAATAAAATAAAGTATAAGAGCCATTAAAATTACAATAATGAATCAAAATAATATGGTTCCTACTTCTGTCCATTGTTTATTGCAGAATAACTTAGAATAACAAAGATGAATTAATACAAAATAAAATACCAATCTGGCCAAAAACTAACTTATAAAAATTTTAATATAATATACATTATTTAAAAAGTAGTAGCACACGCACACGCACGCATACACACACACACACACACACACACACACACACACACACACACACACACACACACACACACACACACACACACACACACACACACGCAGGCACGCACACACACACACACACACACACGTACATACATATATAAATGAACATACAATCTTCTCCAAATTTGCTTATTATTATGATAAAAAAAAAAAAAAAAAAAAAAGACAGAAAAGAAATTATATATCTATATATACATAACTGCACAATTTATAAACAATAGGCTATCTAATAGAAACATAATTTAATACAAAATGTAGTAATATTTACAGTGATTCATACAATAATAAACAAACATTAAGATAAAATAAAATCTCAGGAATAGTTGTGGTATAAAGGTAAAAAAGGAACTATATATAACTGTAGGCATCACCATTTACTTCTCACAAATTCAGTTCATAAAATAGTTGCGAATCGTCTGTTTGGGATGTGAGGAGATATTGGAAAAGGAGGTATTTGAAGGTTGACAGTGAAGAGGCATGACGGATGTTATGTGGCAAAGATTTCAGGTAGGTGACGGAGCGGGCTAAGAAGGAACGTTCATAGGTTTTTGTCTTGTGTAATGGAATATAGAGGTCAGAATCACGGGATCTCGTTTTTATTAAGTGGACTAAAGGTTTCGGCTGGAGGAGACAGTAGATATAGGACGGGTGCTGGGAGTTGATCGTTTGATATAAGAAGTTTCCAAGGAAGTATAGACGGCGGGAAGAGGGGAAGAGCCACTTTGACTCGGCATAAAGGTGGGACACATGAGACCATCTCGAAGTACCGAAGACAAACTATTCCATCGCTTCCGCCATCTCCTATCTCAACATAGGGGTAGACTCCTGGTTTCCTCTCTAATCTTTCTTCACTTTGACTACAACTGTGTGGTATATTAATGCCTCTCGGTGGAGCTCCATGATAGGCTAAGAAGACCAATGAACAGCTGCATATTTTTAATTGAGGCCCCGAGATACTCCCATTCACCCACACCACTACACTGAGTTAAGGTGGCTCTTCCCCTCCTTACGAAGACAATATTTCCTAGGTACGTTCCTCTATCAAATCATCAACAATCATTGTCCATCTTATGCCTACAACCTTCTCCAATTAAAGTCCTCAGCCCATTCCCTTTCCACAAGATCTTGACCTGTTAACCATTACATCCTTTCTTACAGATCTGCCTTATTCCAAAACTTATTTATTGCTCGCTCTGTCAATTTCTGGAATTCCGTCCTTCTCAAAATTGGGTTTTACCCTCCATATCTACATTCCAAACCCTCATATTCCAATTCCTGTCCCAAAAACAGTCAGATACCTGCAAATCTTTTGGCATTACACATTTATTTCATGTAATTCATTATCAAATGTTAATACTATTCTTTGCTAGGGATATAACAAGATTTTCCTAGTCTTGATGCCACTGAATGCATCTATTGTTTGATTTTTACAATTATTTTGTATTTAATCAAATTTGTACCTGTAGTTACATCAAGAAATGATTATGATGTATTTAGATATTATTCATTTAAATATTATGTAAATTTACAGTGATCATTTAAATGCTCAGGTATTTTATATTGTCAGATTCAGTTGTTTTTTTTATTTGCAGCAACGCAGTTTATTTTAAAGAACTTATTGTATTTTTTAAAAGTGTATATTTATAATGTTTTACCACTGTGCATTGTTTTAAGGGTCTTGTCACAGTTTTAAGTGTTTTGTATATAGGTTTATTTGTATTGTATATATTATGTTTAACTAATGTTTTATTTACTTTTTCTCTTTCTTTGTATTTTTTTTTATTGTTTTTATTTAGATCAGATGTAATGTTTTAATTTAGTAATATTTTTTTATTCTAAAGAGACTTTGTCCCAGAATAAAGTTATTTTCTATCTATCTATCTAATATTATATGTAACAACTCATTTTAAGCCTATTTTACTTATATTATTAAAAAATAGATTAAACTGTTGTCAGATCAAGATTAACCCTGACTGCCAAGGAAACAAAGCAAGATCACAATGTTCCTAAGTAGAACAGAAGTTAAAATTTATAGAAAACTGACGATCAATTTTTTTTTTTTTTAATACCTTCAAATAAATATTTTAGATTTAATTTAATAACACTTTTACATCTACTATTACAATTATACAGTGTTAATGGTGACAGATGCTTGTCTTTATTGGGAAGTTATTTTACACCACTTCAAAATAAACTTTGCTCTTCCTACTTGCTGGATGAAATGAAAAATTTAAAAGTGCTACAGTAAACAAATCTATAATTATTTTCAATGAAGTTGATAAAAATTTAGCCATACACTCAGTTGAAGACTGTTACCGCCTTGGGAGAAGATGTAATACCAGATCTATTCTTATTAAATTAAATTCTAATTTTTAAAAAATTGATCTCATGCAGACTAGATTCCCACCTTAGTGCAAAGGGCTATAGGCGGCCTTCAACAGCACCAGAGAAGATTGAATTATCCTAAAGGAGGCCATACCATTTAAGAATAAAATGAGGGTAAGTAACCATAATGTTAAATTCCAGAATGGAAAAATTATGGTAAATAACAATCTGTTTTCAATCGTAGAAATTAAAAACAAAAAAATAATCAATCAGAATAGAATATAAAGTACTATGTTCTAATATACATAGGAGAAACAAAATAATAAATACATAAATGAGAGAATGTACCAGCATAAAACCCTAAAAACATAGCATTGATACAATATGCAAAGTTACCATGAATTTTATTTTAAAAATATACAAATTCTACAAAAAGAGAGGATTACATACAAAAAAAAAAAAAAAATAGAGGCAATATATATATATCACTGAAAATATAATTATACTGTATTTTTTTTTTTTTTTGCGGCATTTTAAATCACTGAAATTGATTAAAATTATTTAATAATAAAAATATAAATAAAATCAAGCTAAATTTAAAAATCAATAAAAGGAAATTAACCTTTGCTAAAGCTCTTTCGAAACATTGTCTTGCCATCTCAAAATTTAGATGATACCAATAGCATTCCCCAAGCTCGTTCCATGCCTCGATAGCATCAGGGTCTAACTTAACTGCCTTACATAATGCCTCTAGTGCTTTGGTACGAAATTTTGAACAACAGTTATACATCTTTCCTAGTAGAAAGAAGTATTTGGCCTTATCTTCAGCTGCATCTAAAAAATATGTTCATTAATGGACATTTTTAACATAACTAGAATTTTGTTTTAACATAACTAAAATTTAATAAACTAGTAACCAAATTGGTACACATGGAAACAATATTATTCTTATTATACTATACTTAAACAAACTGCAGGCCAAATATTATATCACATCATTTAAAATAATTATTAAAAAGTAATTTTGAAAAGTTGGGTGGAATATTTTACATTGGGATTATCACAAGCAAAGAATATAAACTCAAACTGAGCTGGAGACTATAAAGATGAAAATCAATGTCGCCAAATTAAAATTTATGAGGAACGGGAGAAGGAGAGTCCATGTGGAACAAATCCTTCGGCTGGGTGGGATCCATCTGGACTAAGTGATGGATTTTAAATACCTCACCTGAATGAGTTCGGATGGGGTGGTTAGGGAATACCAAGAAAGACTTGGAAAGAAGGAATTAAAGAAGCATTTAACAGAAGAAGAATGGACTCTGGAAGAGGAGAAGCAGCTGATTCAGGACAGAGATTCTTGTATTAGGCTCTATAGGATGGAACCTCAAACCGCTTAGCGATAATGAATGACTGCATTAAGTAAGTAATTTAGCAAAATGATTCTGTAATAAAGGATACCATTTGGAGGAAGATAGTTATTTCTTTATTATTCACCCCATTAAAACTTCATTCAATCTTGAAACTGAAGATCAAAAAAAGAAAGAATGAGGAACCCATTCTTGAACAGAGGACCTTGACTAGAGCAATGAAGCAGACACTATAGTCACTAGACCCCCATTGAACTTGATTGGGTGTGCATGAACACTAAGGAAGTCTTGTCTCAAGGTGATGTTTTATGAGGAAAACTGAATGTTCTTTATGTCACCTTATGAAATGTGAGGGTCAGGGAGTCACAATATATTAAAACAAATAAATAACACTTACTCTTTAAATGTCTCTTAATGAAGAGAATCTGTCAAGCTGTGGCAAGTCAGTCATAACTCTCTCATATTCCAGAGCTATGCCACTGGATAGACGATCCTCCTGAAGGATAATTATGTCCCAAATTTGGGTTAAATGTCCAGTATTGTCTGCATTGGAAAACCTTGGGTTTTCTGATGAGAAGAACAGTGTAATGAGGGACCTGACCTGAATCATTCATGCTTCCAGTGTCATACTGACTCACTGACCATGTGACCATGTGATTTAGCCTACTGGTGGTACTAGCCATACCAGACATAGACGAAGAACCAGACATAGAACACATCCTCAGCTTAAATGTATCGGGATACACTTAATTAAATATAAGTTACAATATAAAATGGTTAGTTAGATAAATAATAATATTAAAGAAACTATATAACACAGGCAGAATTCAGGCTCACACAAAAGAAGAAGCCAAGAAGATTGCTCAGTCTAAGGGCGTCAAGGGAATGCAGTACTAAAGTAAATCAATAGAACAACCGCCTTCCCAGAATGATCATCTATGAAATCTCAAGTGATCTGGAGCAGAATAGGATTATTAAATTGTTAGGATCATAAATGCCAAAAAGTTAGAACGCAATAAACAGTACTTTAAAATGGTGCACAAGACAGGTCCAAGGCAGGGACACGGTTCACTAGGTGGTGGAAGTGTCACCACCGGTAAGAGATGAAATACTAGCAGAGGGAAGACTTCCAAGATTGAGCATCTCATGTCAAGGCAAGATGTCCGAGATTGAGTGGGAGAGACTCGGTGTAATAAATGCCAAGGTTTTTCACAAATTGCAAAATTTTGCCCATTGACTGTTGTGAATTGCGATACTGTGGTGAGAGAGGATATGTATCTAGACACTGCCAAACACAGAAGAATGGTAGACCATCGACATGCATAAACTGCCAAAGAACCAATTCGCCATCTGACCATCCAACAAATGATAACTGTCCATCTTACAAAAGAACAGAGAGGCTGGCAATAACAACAAAGTATCACCAAATTGAATGATAGTACTATGATCAGGATATCCCAGCAAAGCTTAAGGGAGAATTCAGATGGCAGAATTCAGACTCATGGTGGCACTAAACATTATTGACTTAATGCTCTTCAGGAGCCCGCCTATTAGGAGAGGTAATGTATTCAGAGTAGAACCACAAGATCACAACATCACTAGCAATGGAAGTGGGCTGTACTATGCACCACAGAGCTTCCTACTGATCCTCAATCATTCTCTCACAGATACTTTGCAGCCTGATCTTGAGAATAGACTTATCTATCTGCTAACATAGATTCTCCTTGTTTAACTTATTAAGCCAATCCCTTCCACAGCTGTCATGAATATTGACCTAATAATGATGCTACAGGGGTGATTCTTAATCAACCGCTGTGGACTCTATAAGTAAGGGTATTACATTAAGTAAGCTATAGAGTTAAGCAGACTGTATAATTAAATGATTAGATGACTAATAAAATATGATTGCTAGTAATTGCTGCTTTTCCATTCCATTTGCTCTACTCTTCTCTCTTCCAATGCTCAGGCCCCCTGCTGAACCGCTAGAGTTTTTACTCCATTTCTCTTCTTATAAAAAGGCTGTACAGATGTAATGATTGCTGGCAGCTATTTCTCCTGTCTTAAGTAGGCATGAATCTTGCAGGGACTCTGCATGTCTAGAGTCTGTCTCTGTTTCTCTTGACTGCCAAGAGATGGTAGCAGTATTTGTTGCTCCTTTATTATATTTAAATTAAATTAAATTGGAGCGTTGCTGTGTTACCTTAACACTCCTTCTCTTCTGGCTACAAACATGATTGTGCTGGGTGATTTTAATGCCCATTCAATTTTATGAGGTAACCTGCGAACTGATCAGAAAGGTCTGCTGCTGGAAGATTTCACAGCCCGTAAAGGACTAATGATTATTAATAAAACTGCATGTTTGCCAACTTTTTTGGGATTCAGTGAGGAGTACTGTATCTATGTGACCATGGCTTGACCTGGTATTGTTCAGTTTATCAATTCCTGGAATGGATTTTACATCTAGTGACCACCATGTGATAACCTTTAAATTAAACGGACACGATCATAGAAAGCAGTACTGAAGGGAACATTTTGTTATGGAGAGAGCTAAATGGAAGTGGTAGCTAATAATATCCAGTGGCATCTAACAGAATTGGGATATCATCAAAACATGAAACTGGAAGATAAACCAGCGGAACTGTCAACGAACATCTTCACAGCAGTTGAAGAAGTGCTGTCCATTGCAAGAGAGTCGGTAAGGGAAGGACAGCCATGGTGGAACAAACAGCTGACAAGCTTGAAATGGGAAACTTATTAAGTTAGGCACCGCCTCCAAAGAGAAAAAAATGCTGTTGAAGAAAGTTTGAAAACCACGTATTATGCACTGAACAAGTATTTCCAGGCAGAAATTGTGAAAGCAAAGGACACGTGGCATGGATACCTTAAAGAATGTAAAAGTCCATGGAGATCGGTATATCGAAAAGTCCTTGGTAAAACTTGGAACAGAAATTCATTTGTCTCTTTTACGCACAATGATGATGTGGCTAGAATGCCAGAACAGGAGGTAGAGGCAATAATGGCAAAATCCTTCCTTGAAGATGACATGGCCACAGACCAGAGACCACACAGATTCTCAAGATAACAAACAGGAGAGGATTGACATGGGTGTATTTCCACAAACTGAAAATGCTTTCCCATGGGAAGATGAGAATGTGAAGTTGGCTTTGGAAGAACTCAGACCAGGGAAAGCACAAGGACCGGCTATGGTAAGAGATATTTTACTAAATTGTCCCAAAAAATATATACAGGTCCATACAGACCTTTTTAGAAAAGTGCTCTGTATTCTTTCAACTACAAGGAAGAAGGAAAACAAAATAAATCAAACGTGATTGTGCCCAAGGATTAGTTTTGGGACTCTATGGAATATTAACATGAACCCTCTCCTTGTTAATTTGAGTGCAGCAGGGTACACACCATCTGCATAGGTGAACGACTTAGCTGTTGGTATTGAGGCAAGATCTCAATAAAATTTTGAAACTAGAGCAGCAGAAGCCACTCGTCTTGCAATGGTGTCAGGAGACTGTCTAACTCCTTACAGGCCATGGAGACATCAATTTAAAGTTTCACTTTTTTCATATAAGAGAAAACCCAATCGTTGCTGCGAGACTAAATAAGATGTGGAACACATAATATTTGACTGGCCGATGTACACCAACGTCTAACAAGCTTTAGCTGGGGTATATTCCATGCTAGAATGCCCCCTCAGTACTTAGACAGACTTGTGGAGACGCCTGAGATATTTAGAGCTTTTAGAACATACGCAAAAAAGAATTTCCAGATAAAAAGCACACAGCAAGCACTTTTATACATGTAATACTGCATTTACTAAATATAAGATAAATATTGTGTTACCTAATTCTTAAGATTACTTATAACATTATATATAAATTGTAAAATATAGGCCCACTAAAAGTAAGTAGGTAATTGAGCCCTACAACCAAACTTGAGCCCTGTTTGGTTGGAACAGGTCTCCGGTTGCAGGTAGCCCATTAGTTTACGTCAAAACCATCATTAATGCCACAAAGAATTAAAACATGCCTCACTTTGGCTCATAAATTTAAATCAAAGTGGGAGCAGCCCTGCCTGCTCAACCACCAGTGCACAAATTTATCACTAATTAAATTTGCGAGAAAATAGTTCAGTTAGAAGAATTGGATAAATCGCTGCTAAAGGGTTGCCAGAGAGAGAGAGAGAGAGAGAGAGAGAGAGAGAGAGAGAGAGAGAGAGAGGAGAGAGAGAGAGAGAGGAGAGAGAGAGAGAGAGAGAGAGAGAGAGAGAGAGAGAGAGAGAGAGAGAGAGAGAGAGAGAGAGAGAGAGAGAGAAGAGAGAGAGAGAGAGAAGAGAGAGAGAGAGAGAGAGAGAGAGAGAGAGAGAGAGAGAGAGAGAGAGAGAGAGAGAGAGATAGAGAAGAGAGAGAGAGAGAGAGAGAGAAGAGAGAGAGAGAGAGAGAGAGAGAGAGAGAGAGAG